TTGATCAAATAAAATACATGTTAGCTAATTACAGAAATTCCAGCTTAATTCATCCAAACAACTAGCTGAGGTAACGCCTAGTAGCCACCTTTTCTTAACAAATATTACATACTCCCAAAAAATCTCCAAGGCGTGGCGAAGTATACATGCGATCAGTCAATCGCTGCAGACGTTGGCACGACCACGTGATTACCAGGAATGTGGCACGGGATTAAAGCATTGCGAAATTGCCACTAATGAACACAATTAGCAAACACTATATTCAAAAAATTGTTGTTTATAATGTCTACTCCAAACATGCAATTTGTTGATCCTAAATAATACTGCAACGTCGTGTGAACCACGTGATTACGTCATAATCGGTAATCATACGGTAACCATATTCTAGCGTCTAGTTCATATAGGACCACCTTTCCCGAATAGAACTACTATCATTACCACATGCAGAACAAAACAAAGGAAACTTAAATTTTAGAGCGATACTACCAATGTGCAAATCCAAAACAGAATGTGTTATTAAGTCACGACGATAGAATTTAAATCGATGGTCAAATAATAAGTATTTATCACCGCTGTGTATATGTGATTTTTATTCTTATGCGCATGAGAGAAAAATAAACCTCATGTTGTGAACACTGAGCTGACAAATTGCGTGATACAATAAAATTGTTCAAAATAAATTGTAGATATATGTGTGTTCAATGAGTTTTTTGGTAATTTTACAGTTGTGCGCTCCATGATAAGAATTTGTCAACACGAATGATTATGTTCGCGAGGCAGGTTTCCAATGTAGTTGGTGCAATTAATTTTGAAACACATTATATCTTGTGGAGCTATATTGTCATATTACACCGTTCCTCAGGCAGACACTCCGGTTGTAATAGCATGTCTTCCAATTTTCCAACTATTTCGAAAGACATGTCTATAATGAAGTGCCCCACTCAGTGACCTTTCAATTATCATGCACTCAGTTGCATTCTCATAATAACTCGTCTGATGTGTAATAGCTATTGTACGTTATGATTAAGGATAAAAAGGAATAATTTTGTACGCGTAGAATTAACCAATGGATACACGTTTGTGTGTATGCGTTTGTGTATGTGCCAACATAATGTGTTTGTGTTGATTGACGAGTATTTCTACACCCATAGGATTTATCTACCTCTAAAACGAATTATTATTTCGAGCTGTGAGCAAATTATTAGAATTAAAATAATAAATAATTAGGTACATCATTTTAAGACTTGTTCAACACATATAACATTTTAAACAAATAAACAATAATTTAAATTTAGTTGTGGTAATATTGTCGGGACACACAATATTACAATGCAAGTGTGCTGTCAACAGATTAGGATTTGATTTTGTGTGATTTGGGGAACAGTTACATCATGTTCCGTAAACAGATAGTAAAATCAACTATGTGTCATATTCATGTACGTTACTCCTAGAAATCATGTATTGAATAATCACATGCTGTACAGTTCAATCGACAATCATTTACACATGTGATATGGGCACATTATTAACAAATGCATAGGTATTATAGTACATCTATCGATAATTGACATTGATCTCAATAGAGATTTAGTTTGAAATCAAAAAGCTGAGAGGTAGTACGATTTACAAAATAATTTACGATTTACAAGCCTTGTTTCAACACCTCATATATTGGGTGTACAAACAGACTAATACAATACTTTCATTTCAAAAGTAAACTGGCGTGAAGTCACTGGTTTTCTTTTCAGAATCATTGATCAATCAGTTTTACATTTTTACATTTCTAAAAAATGAATGTATATCAACAATGATTCATTACATTTTCGTAGTAATTTGACAAGAATTGAAACGAGAAATAGATCAGACACAATATGAAACATTGCTATAGAACAACATAGTGGGAGTTTCAATCTTTTTTTCATAGCTTTAAGCCCTGTTTCTAATATGGCCTTCACAGATTTCCGGCTCACACAAACTGGATGTACGAACGGATGCAGTAGTTAATTTGACAAGAGACTTCTGTAACATCAGGATCACCACAGACATAGCACACTGACAGGATATAAAATTGTTATCTGTATGATCGTTTATATCAGGCGACGGCAACGTATAACACACTTCCACTGCCAATTGTTGTTTTCAATCTAGCTACTATTTGGTGTTATTAGTTTCGTACTGGAGACGTTTACGGGCCACTGCAAGACCCTACAAAAGCAACATTGTCAATGACTATTGCCAGCTTCTTTCCTTGCTTAGCAAGCATGTTAAGTAGTCTTACTCGTTATTGGAACAACATTGTCACAATAATTTCAATCTAAGAAGACCCGAAATATAATCTTCTGATGATCACTATCTCATTGTAAACGCATATACGGAACGAACACACATGGAAGCCGTTTACCCAGAATCCCCCCAGTTGGATCTACGTGTCTGCTGTAGCTAAATCCTCCAAATTCTAGGCGCAGCTGACATCCAGCAATAAATAACCTTTGCAAAATGCTCGTCTTTTTTGGTTTGTATTTACAACTGTCAAAGCTCGGATATCGAATTACCGCTGATAGAAACCGATTGCAGCTAATGAGTATAGTGCATCTGTGCACACATGTCTTACGAATAATACATTGATTATGTATGTCACATGAGTTGAATGTTTCGATTCAGTTAATTTACTATAATACCTTCAGTTGCCATGACACAACTGTGCTATGATATGGATTTTATCAGCAGAAATTATCGCTTCAGTTGTTAAGGAAAGATTGTCATTTGCTTAATGCACATGTCGCAAAACGTCACATCAACACATTGCAGATTTATTTCAATTTGTGCACTACATGCAATTTAATGGCAGCCATTCTAGTTTACTTTGGTTGTGGATTGAAAAATAAATAGTTCGCTGGGCTACATATACATGGTCACACTAGGCATAAACCTCACTGTAACTGTTGTGCATTGTTTGAACAATAAGAATTATGCAAATAAGAATAGATGATAACACTTTTTAACCTGTCAGATCCTGTACGTTTTTTGTAATGAAAACAATTTTAAAATCTACATATGGAGCAATGTCCATTGCTTGTTTTACTTGTCATACTCCATATCAGGACGTGTTGGATTGAAGAAAAAATGCGTCTAATCTATATTCGCTCGTAAGCAATAATTGCGGAAATATGGCAGATGACATAGGTCTGAAACTAGTTTACACAAGTAGATAACATAATACTAAGAATTATGCAAATAAATACAGTTTATTTCTGATTTTTGTTTTATATTATCGTTCTTGGAAAATATATCATATTAACCTATTTTAAAGAGAATATAAAATCTACATGGGGTGCAAATTTCATATTTGTTTCACATTTTTTTACGATTTTTGTTTTATTAGAGATTTTCCCACTAGCCTATTAAACATACAGCACACGTACCATGATATCACTTAAAAGTTAGACAGCTGGTAGTCGTTCAAGTTCTTAGCAAATTAGGGTCGCCCTTACAACATATTTGTTATTGATCCCAGGATTGCTATGACCAATATAACGATATATTATAATCAGAGATGTTGCAACAAAGAAAGTTGTCAATTTATTCAGCAAATTACAATGTTTAGAGTGTACCGATTGAGTGAAAAATTAAAGCAAGAAAAAATAATCAAGTTTTATTACATTCTGTATCACTATGAAGTGTAAGTTGTGCGATCGCTTTCGGGGCACAAATACACATTCTTGCTATGGTATTTAGATTTCAAACAGATTTTAACCACATTTATATTTATCATTGTGTCTTTTTACTGGGTTGACATGGTTCGCCACTGAAGGATTTCTGTCGTTTCATGAGGCACATACCAAACTTATTTTTCATCTTTTTTTAAAAATAACATTGAGAAACCAAAAACATAAAACGAACGTGTGGAAACGGAAACACAGTGCCATAATGTCGTAATTTAATTTAATAATAATACGAAACGTACACCGTTGTATTCTTGTATATTCAGTTTTCTGAAAACATACATATTGCCAGAGCTGCATGATTAATAATTGAGAGTGAAAGTTCTAATAACAGTTTCACGATTAGTTATTTGCTCTGCTTGCTTCATTATAATTCCAAAAAATGCAATTTTGAATCCATATATATACAAAATCATGCCGACATTGAACATACAAGTAACTGCAAAACCTTCTTGTATCAGGTAAATACTGTTCTATCTCTTAAACTAAACAAAAGCAGCATGACAAGCATTCAGCATGTGCATTCAGAGAAAATGATCTGTCAATGTGCATTTTGCATTCTCATTGCTTTTATTTCATGAGCTGAAATGTATACTTCTCTGGTTACTTACTGTGGAATCAGAGTTAACAAACTAGAAATCTATGCTATCTTCGTAAGTTTAATCTTTCTTTAGCCCGTAGTGATTGCATATTTCTCCTGTGTGACCACAACTGAGTCTAGCCCCAAATGAAAACGTATAAGATTAGCTCTAATTTTAGGCCGTAACCCGAACACAGCTATGACATGTGATATTAAACATTGACAACAGTAGCAACTTCATGGATGTTGGGGTGTAATACTATTATAACTTGCCAAGCGTGTATAACTATAATCACCTGTTGCCAAGAAACCATACAACACTTTCATTGCAAAGTATATATTACTGGTTCATTAACATATCATGTTAGCAGTATAATACATCTGACATTAGGCGTTGTGTCGAGTTGTGACCCATTGGTTACTCACTGAACCACATCTCGAACGAATCAAATGACTGCATTCTATATCTGTCATAATAGGGTATACGATTTGAAACCGTAGCAATGATATCAACCTCCAAGAATATTCAGAGGTATCGTTCTGAGAGAGGGCATTTATATCCTCGTCTCTTCGTTGATGAAACCATGATTTTCATTTCTGGCAATTCCCTTTTATGTACTACTTAATAATATCTTATTTCTTTTAATTAAATAGTTGCCGTTAATTGTATTTTATAGAATCAGAACCCACAACAGAAGATGGCAAACGCTTTATTCAACATCAGTAGTAATGGTAGCAGCAATACCCAGAATGCTCTGACATGGAAAGTTGTCCCAAATGAATTGACTATGGCGATGTTCATCATCTTTTTCATCTTGATTGTATGCGGCAATATCTGGGTAATGATCGCTGTAGTTCGCCAGCCTAAACTACGTAAATCATCGACTTGTATGTTCATTATTTCACTCTCTTTCTCCGATCTTATGATGGCGTTTTTCTACATTCCGATGCAAATGGCTTACGTGGGATTCGGCTTGACTGGAATGAGTAGCGTAGTGCTGTGTAAGGGGTCAGCTTGGCTACAATGGGTTGCTCAGTGTGCCACGATATTTTCTTTAATCGGAATAGGAATCGACAGATACCGAGCAATAGTTCAACCACTTCACCCTAAACTGACAAGAACAGATGCAGCTGTGTGTATTACTGTAACATGGATCTGTGCTGGGGCATATTCTAGTCATCGAATGTACGTATTGGACATAGTTACATTTACATATCCCGTAGGTTTCAATGTGACTGTATCTACATCAGTATGTGCAGTGCCATCTGATAAATATTACCTATTAAGTTATCTTGAAGTTGGTGACTTTCTTGTGATGTACTTAGTTCCACTAATAATTATATGTGTGATGTACGCCATAATGGTATCCAGTCTGTGGTTCAGTTCCGCTCCAAATGATGAATCCAAAAAAAGAAAAAGAAAATCTGTTAAAATGTTAATCCTGGTCGTAGTGTTATTTTGCATCAGTTGGTTGCCATGGAGATGTTTTTCTCTATACTTTCAATTGACGAACTTCGCATCAATTCCAGTTAACATTTTTATATGGAGTGACGTCATAGCTGCAATTTGCATAACATTGTATCTTACCAATAGCTGGGTGAATCCATTTCTTTACGCCTATTTCAACCAGCATTTTAGGAAAGAGTTTTATCGGTTATTCCCCTGTATGCTAAAAAGGCAATCTAAAGTTGTCCCTACTAATACACCGAATGTTAACATAATTGCCTCAAATTCAGTTAATGCCACGCTGTCGTAAATGATAACTTTAGATTACGTATCATGCAAAGAGTGGGCTCAATATTAGAAATCAAATTAAATGTGACAATCGATTGCTTATATAAGCAACTGTAGCGTCTATTGAATAGACGTAATTACTCATTAATGTTGAAGCAATGTCGGTATGTTACCTTTTATGGAGCATTTTGTAACTGCCAATTATTGTTACGTTAAATGAACGATGCGTTAAAATAAAATTCATACAACTATTCATGCTCTTTGAACATCAATTATTGTTTAGTCTTTTTCGAACAGGATATATTGATGTTCATGTTATCTTGAAAATCGATAAGTTATATATATTTTAAGCTGTTTAATAATTGCATACGTATATAATGTTCATACTGTTCACCGAGTTTTGCGTGTAAATGAAATGCAATCAAGTAGTGAAAATGTATTTCAATAACGTGTTATGTCGTGATATATTCATTAGTGGATTACATTTAACACATTTCTAGTATGTAATTAAAACATACATTTACTGGAATAGAAATATCTGTGTTTTTATAAGTGTTTGCTTTTACCAGATTGTTTACATGCAGCATTAGTGTGCTCGATTGATCTAGATTACAAAGGCAAAATAGTAACGTAGTCTATTATATCCATAATTTAGAGTGATTATGATGTATGAAACTAAACCCTAAACATTATACAATATCAATTTGTGTCTATTTATAAAAAGAAGGCTTTATGTTCGTTGTTGAAAACGGAATTTAAATGGTTGTGATGTTTAATATTTTAAAATGTTACAACCTGCATTTTGTATACATTGTTGTTACACTTTCCACATAGGCATATTTTAAATTTGAGTTGGTTTAACGGATGTGTATTTATTTACATGCGCATTACTGTCTATTCGTTAGCAACAAGTTTTCATAATATTTGAATATATTGTTTTACAGGCAAGTTGCAACAGATGTTCTACGTATCTATGAGAGAGAGTGAGAGAGAGAAGTATTTCATAATTTATCTTGGCAATCTCAATAAAAAAACGCTTGTGTCGTTTTAAAAATTATTGCATCTCTTTCTTGAATACTAAATCGCGTGTCATTGTAACTAGATGGAGTTATGGTTATTGGTTCTACATAAAGTTTCGTCCCCTAGCATGGTTTGAAATGCAGGAATGCTTTTTAATCACCGTATCGATAGTACTCTTCATACATCATTGTTATGACGCCACATTAAACATAACCTCGATTTAACTCACCTCATTTAATGACTGATTGGATTTCATATATTAAATTCAACTCGTAGACTAGTTAAACACCTCGCTGACGTTTTTGCTTGATACACTTTTCCACCATGATGAATAAGTGCTAATTTCATTTGTTTGATAAAAATATGGCGACTTAATTGAAACAAATTATAACACTTTATCTACACTTACTGTTGATGTACCTGGCGCCGAAAACACCTCTTTATAATAAAATAAATTACAGCAGGAGACCAAATAATTCCAGTAATTTAATTTGTCGGTAGTATGTAACTAACTGATTGATACAGTTGGAAATACAACGAATATGATTGTCTTTGATTTTGGACACAAAAATCGTTGTTACAATTAACTGATTCCACAGCTGTACTCAGACCACACACACATATGTTATTTAGCTTTGACAATTCCATACACTGGCTTGAACGTAAAATGGCCGCTTGTACATCAAAATTATTCATTATTCTTGCGTTCAATACGTTTGGACAATAATATACTGCTGAGCTAGGTTTAATTAAACTTATATAATGAGGCTTCTTCAATCCTATTTGGAACTGTCAGAATGTAATTCTATAGCGGAGGTTTGCGCTTTCGGAATGCGTTCTAGTTATCCTAATTTCACCATGGTTACAAAAGTTCTTTTTACTGTTTTGGAAAGAATGTATAGCTATGATAAAGGAAGGGAATTGTAATTTATTTATGTTTGTTATAAAAAAAGCTAAGTGTAAGGTGAATAAAAGACGCATAATTTCATATTATACTGATATGATCGGTTCAATTGATTGGTAAATCTGTGTTGTGGGTCATTCACGTAAGATATAATACAGCGTTATAAAAATGATTACAAAGTAGATAATATTATCCCCGAGTGATTCCACCAACAAGGGTGATAATATTATCCCTGAGTTGACCAAGAAACGAAGGTGATAATATTATCTATGGGTGGCCACAACAACAAGAGAGATAATATTATCCCCGAGCTGTCCCGATAACGAATAAGATAATGATATTATCCCCAAGTTCATGTGGTCACAACAACACGGGAGATAATACTATCCCTGAGTTGACCCAAGAACAAGGGAGATAATATTATCCATCGGTGATCCCAAGACAAGAAGTGATAATATAAACCCCGAGTGGCCCGAAGAAAAGAAAAAATGATATTATCGTTGAGTTTACCCAAGAACGGAGGAGATAATATTATCCCCGAGTAGTCCTAACAACGAAGGAGATAATATTATCCATGCAGTTGCCCCATGCAAGAAAGAACGAGATAATATTTTCGCTCGGTGGTCCCAAGTTAGGAAGAGATAATGTAATCCCCGAGTGGCTCCAAGAAAATAAGAAATAATATTATCCCTGAGTGCCCCCAACACCAAGGGGGATAAAATAATATTATCTCTCAGTGGTCCCAGTAATAGCGACAGTAATACATATTTATGGAGTGATTTTAGAAATGTTAGTAATTTTTGGTCACATTGCGCTGTTTTGATTATTTTTTGCATGTTCTGCTGGTGACATAAATTATTCATAGTCATAATTCCGTGTTGCTAGAGAGTACTTTTGCAAATATTAGAATTGGTCATTAACAATCAATAATGTTTCCAAGACGATGGACTTACTGTAATGTACTGGTAAATTGTCTTTTTTAAATTATAAGTCGGATAAAATACGTCTTAAAGTCCACCACCAACACTCCAAAGCTTCTACTTTTAAACAGTGTATGTGTTCCGTCGCGTTCGTATCTTTTCTTAGTTTCCCTAAGAAAACTGATGTAAGGCTAATTCAACAACCGATTCTTCTATGTATTAAAGTAGGACTGGTCTTGGCACTACAGACATATCAATAAGAACAGTTTGCAAATGCAAATTTCGCGCACCGTGTCTTTTCTCATCTTTTTTAAAACTCCGTCATGTTGATCATTGCGTAAACCAGGTTTGCATTTGTTCAGTGTTATGTAAATATACAAACGTTCTTTCCGACTAGCTATAGAAATGTTCCCAGTCCGGATTATTACGAAAATCGGACATCTTAAAATCGAGACCCGTACTAACTGGTACAACGCTGTTCATAAAATGGGTAGTTATCCAGTGGATCTTTCTGTATTGACATTTCCTTTTCTAGTTTGCACTAATTATGAGTTATTGTGTCTCAACTCCGCGTCTTCCATTATTATTAAGACGTGGTAATACATTAAACCAACCCTCTTAATATTTAACCCAACATAAACTATAGATATTGGGTAAAATTGAATTACCAATTTTACCAATTACAGAAAACAAATGGAACGAGCTCGTACGCAGAAATTTTCGTTTATGCGAAATGGGAAGGACATTGTACCTCTGTAAAGTGAAGCGCGTAAAGTAGGAGACATGTAATATTCAGTACTATACTGACGGGACACACATTTCTAGGTGTTAATTCTTAATAACATCATAGCGTCATAGAAGCGTATCTCTGGTCCGATGTAGGGCAATTTACAAATCTCAATCGAAACGGCTCGTTAGTTTGACTACCATTATTAAGAAGTATTGCCTCCAGCCATTTGTCTAGACTGCAATCAAGCAAGATCACCAGCGTCAGTCGTTAACAATTTATTTCATTGATAATTTGGTTGCTACAAGTTGTGCTTACCGTCAATATATTAAGCTTAACATACATTAAAGCGAATTCAACGTCTTGCCGTGTGTGTTGCATAGCACTGTGATTTAGATTCGCAGTAGTCAATATGTATACATGCCATCTTAAATAACATTAGAATACATATATATATATATATTTAAAGCAGTTTCCATAGTTGTATCATATATTAGCGTGACTAAATAAATACCCGACTCCTAAAAGCATGCTTTGAATATATCGTAAACTTTACATCGCCGCTAGCAATTTTTATTCCTTAGAGCGTTAGTCTGACTCCTGATACAGATCATGTCAAAACGTATAAATTACTGACATTTGGATTGCATTAATTCCTTGTAAAGAGTTCAGATTTACTGTTTTCGTTCTCAGTAAGCCACATGATATATATGTATGTGTATTTATTGAGTTAATATAACCTGTGGGGGTAGAATAAATCTGTCTCATTGGGGAAGGTATTGAGTGTAGTTTGTTGTATTTCGGTTAAACAGAATTTGAGGTTTGTTGTACTGATTTGAGCAACACATGTTGCATATTGATCAGAGCATGCTCGATTCGAAAAATGTACAATCTTATTTTTATTATGTAGTATCTGAGGCTAGCCATGCAGTTTGCTATATCTGATTGAGTAATATACAATATTTACACTATATAACACGCATCTTTATATTTAGCAAAAATAATACCATTGCCCTAAGTGGTCATGGCAACACACTGGTAAATATACAATTTATATTAATTCTATGGTTTACATGGCAAATATGCCATTCGAATCCATCAATAACTTAAATTTTGAGTTATAAATATTGGAATCAATCAATAAATGAGAATGCTGTTTCAATGGCAACTGGATCTACATATCTTCACCAATATTGAACGCATTTCTGTGCATCAAGGTCAAATATAATATTTTAAGTTGTAAATACAAATATTTCCTAAATTGTTTCCATATTTGAATTTCTATTAAAATGTCATTGATTGGTTCGTATAAAAGGTGACCCCTCCTTAAAATGTATCGAGAATTTATCATTAACTTTCTTTTAAATTTATTCCCGAAATTACTGTTTATATGGTCACCTTGATAATTTCATAAAATATGAATACATGTTAATGCAGTGATTAAAATATGA